ATACACACTGATACATCAACATTTTAGAAATACCTTGGATAAAAGAAATTGAACTAGAACTACAGAAAAATCATCTATCCACAATACTGTCTGGATTATGTAAATGCAAAAAAATTTCTTGTATTCATTTATTTGTACTTTTAACTTCTATACAGTTTTAGAAATTTTTGAGCAAATGAAACAAGGACATGAGAGTGTTGGAAATGATGGTGCATTGAAGGTTGTCTCAGCTGGAGAACCCAATGCAATGAAGTTGGCCTAATCGTTATGAACTTGCACAGGCAAAAAAAGAGGATTTCGAATAAAACACCAGATGACATGGAATAATCAACACATCTTATTATTTTCCTTGTGCATTCCGTATAAAAATAAGTTAAAGACATGAATTAAATCGAAAACAAAATTTTTCATGGCATTTGTTAATTTTCAGGACAAAGTTCAAGTTTCGTGGAACATGTAATGGTCCAGCTTAGCACATTTAGAGCTGTCCACGGAGTTGCTCGGCCCGTTGGTAAACACTGCTGCACTACTATTGCTGTCACTGTTTGGTAAGCTATCGTTTGTCCGAGTTGTTGAAGCGAACAATTTTTGAGACACCAGATTATTTGTAGTTGAACTACTTATAACATTGCTACCATTATTTTTATTATTAGATAAATGAAGTCCACTGGGTACACACGACGCATCCGCAGACAAGGAGTCCTGGTGCTGCTGTGACGTTATCGCTTGGCCATTGCCACCGCTACTTTCACTGTTTGAACACTCGCTGCCAACCTTGTCACTCACACCACTGCTAGAGGAGGCACACTGTAAGCTGTTACTTAGACTAGTTGCTGAGGAAATAGAAAAGGAGACGGAGGAGGATGTTGCTGCCGCAGATGACGAGGGCGGCAAGGAAGAAGAAGTGGAGGAGGATGCGGAGGAAGTGGAAGATAATGATGCTGAAGAGGAGGTTGCTGCTGGGAAGGAGGAAGAGGAGGAGGGTAAAGACGAAGGCTGCATCTCGTCACCCGTCACATTGCTTGTACTAAGTTGCAGTCCCGATACTGCCAAGGGAAGCGTGTTAGTCGAGTCCAGGGTCATGAATTTGGATGTTGGTTGCGTGGTGAAGTCTACGGAATGTTGCTGTTGCCTGTCACTTGTACTACTGAAATTTGATGCCCATTCACTGCTTGCGAGATCATGGTAAGTCACACCACTACTGCTGCTGGAGCCACCATTAGTCCCACTGCCACTTTTCCCATCGTGACTACTATTGTCTGTCACAAGATCCACTTCTAAATTCTCCCCGATTATCACACCGGAGTCCCCACTAAGTAACGTGTCTAAGTCTGAAGGTATTGACACTTCTAATTCTGTTATATTGCCCATGGCATCCCCATCCATGACCTCCGCCGTGATGAAGACGGATGATGGCACCGCAGACGCCAAGTTCAGCTCCTCTGGGGATGAGGCTGAATTGAGGTTCACATCCGGAGTTAAGGTAACCGGGACTCCTACAGTTTCCACATCAATTTCCACATCAGTGTCGTTGTCTTCGGGAGGAGAGCTTGGACAGAAGTGCGGCCTGAAGATACAACATGTGTTACAATCAAATTGGATATCCATATTCTTGAAAACAATGAACAACCTATGAATATTATATCTGAATCAAATAATAACAATAATGAAATGTTTTAATTCAGCAAGGAAATATAGGGTTTTCAAATCTGAATCATACTGAAGTACATTAGACAAAAAATAATTACCCTCCACCCGTCCAACCCTCCCTCACTAGCCCATACAAATAAGCTAAAAGCATTTGATACACTAGATCTCTGTAACAAAAAGATGAATCAAGCCAACAATCTCCCTAGCATCCGCAAACAAGGAGACAGTATCACGCTCTCAAGATGCAGTGCTCAACCTCTTTCTTACCATTCAGTTTTGACCTCATGCAAGAAGTCATTGGTTGCTGTGAGGCCATTGGGACCCACACTTCTGAAGTCTGTCTTGGACCACAGGTCATCTAAGGGAGTGCTTAATCTGTCTATCCATACTCTGTAATAAAAAAGGATAACAGGGTTAGGGGTATGGGTAGTATTAATACTATGCAAGAGTGAAAGTATAATTTGGAATTTTTATTAATCTTATGATATGTAAATAAGAAATGCAAGTAGAAGGCTACGAGATTGTATATATAAATGAAAAAGTATATAAATACATAAATATTGGTATATTTCTAAATATCAATCATTGACTTTATACAAATATTGGCCAAATTTACTACCCTTTTATTTCAGATTAGACATTTCTAGCTATATAAGAGCAAAGATTAGGGTTCCTTGAAAGATATATATAAGAGATATTCTTCCAAACTATGACATGCAAGGAGAAAATCTTATGAAACAAACTGTTAAAATATTTTAACCCTGAAGTCCTATTTGCTACAAATGGGTAAAGCCTATCAAAATCTGGCAATTCTTTTCTCAAATCCTTCTCTTTATAAATGAGATATACGTAGTATCCAACGTACATCTTGTACTGTTCAGCAAATTTCCTTCAGCCAAACCCACAATATTATCCCCATATTCCCACTTCCCAAGGAGGCCATCCACTCTCAATAACACATCCACATTCAATAACAGTCCTGTTTTTGCACCTCTACTTTCTTGTGAATTTTATCTTACCAAACCCTCGATAAGTGATTCCTATAAGGTGAATCACAAAGGGTTGGTAAGGGGATTGCCAAGCCTATTTCCAAAGCATTTATCAAGTGTTTATTGATCCAGGTGATGTGACCATCACATTATGGAAAATAGTTGGCTTGAGGTGCAGGTGATTTGAACATACTGTCATTCTAAAAGAGGGCTGTGGGCCAGGTGACATGAACTTGCCATCATAAGTAAAGGGCAGGGTGATGGAAAAGACTCGCCACAAATGCACAAGCCTCTTGGAGGGTGATAAGACTCATTTGGCATTTAGAAAGGGGTTTTTGCATTATTGCCATCAATAAACGAGTGTGAAATGTAATGTCTATGAGCCATGACTGGAAGAGCACCAGCTCCAGGGAGGACACCACTTCCATGCTCAGCATCCTATTCCTAGCTACTGTGAACAGCAGCACTCATTGTATTACAGCAAACTGAATATTATAGGGGGGGGGGGGGTTACAAATAAAAAAAAATTACTACATAGAGAGAGGATACGGAGTTTGAGCAAGGAAAACAGTCTATAACCATTTGGATAAAGTAAATCAAAAGGTAATTATGAACATTGGAAAATGGCAAAGAAGATCAACCTTTTGCAAAATAATATTGCAAAGGGGAGGGATAGAGTCTTGTCATCACACACAAGTGTTCATGTGCGCCTGGCCTACACATAGCACACCCTTATTTTGGTCCATGTGATTGCCATGAAGCAACCAGATTCAAGGGGTTACGAAAGTACTACATGGCCATGTCTTCAAGGTATACTATATTACATTTAGGGAAGGGAAATAAAATAAAATAAAATAAAATGTAACTCCATAAAATGTAGTCAGTCCATGGACATACCTGCCACCTCTGCCAACTCTCCTGCGGGCAAAGCCTATACACCGACGAGCAGGATGTGCCAAGGAGGTGAGGGAAAATCTAAATCTCGGGTCTCCACCTCCACCTTCACTCGGTGGGACCCAAGGCCAGTTACCTTCCTTAGGCTGTAGACAGAAAGAAAAAAAAAAAAAAATAATAATAATAAGATGCATTAGAACATTGGACTGAAATTTCACTAATTCACTATTCATTCTACCGTATTTGATGGCATACCAAGAGCAATAATTTAATGCATTTACCACAATGCCCTCCAGAAGAAAGTCTCTTTCTGAACACCCCCTTCTGTGTCTAAAGATACGTACCGCATGATAATTAGTAAATTTTTTCCTTCTAAATGTGAAGACACCATCTGGTTCATTTTCTTCCTCTGCTTCTGAAGGGGAGGGTGAAGCGACCTCGTCCTCTGAGCTGGGAGCCGCGTATGCTAGGGAGTCCTGTGGGGGTAAATCCAGGATTAATAAAAACTGTAGTAAAAAAAGATTTTCATGTTTGGCACTCTCACTAGGACACACTAGAGGACAAAAAAGAACGTGTCTTTAACCTATTAACCCATTCGTCCCGGGTGTCACATATATGAGACACAGGGAAATATAAACAATGTTGGGCTGCCCGCCAGTGCGATGCTGTCTCGGGGCTGCGCTCCGAGGCAGAAGCGGGGCGCGGCCGGGCGGGCGGACAGACTCCGGGGAAGCTCTGCCTGCCGATTTTGTAGCCACCCGGATTTTTTAAATTTTGGCTACAAAATGTACCCGGCGTGAGTGGGTTAACAACGGGTGTCCCACATATGACACACCCCAAAAAATAAACATTGCCAGGCTTCCTGGCCGGCGGGCGGGTGGACAGACTCTGGGGAAGCTCCGCCCGCCGATTTTGTAGCCGACCGGAATATATCATTTTTGGCTTCAAAATATACCGGCGTGAATGGGTTAAAAAAACCGTGTTGATGTATGATCATGTCCTAGTATTTTAAAACAGCCAACTCATCTCATTATAAAATTAATAAATCTTTTGCCTGGCAATCAGTTTTCATTTCAATCTTGCACGAGACAAAATGGATCATTTTTTTACTTTATCTTTATCTGTAAAAATTAGGAATGAAAAGTTGAGATAGAAATATACCTATTCCTATGCATGCAATACCTTTACAATATCATTAATGAAATGCAAGATATTTGTAATTTTGTAACATTGGTTGTTTTCCTTATTAGAGGACATGAAATCGGTATTCTCAATTACCTTTCCACGATATTCAAGGGGTATACTGATATATAGCATACAGTATTCAGCAGTGTACACTATGGTTATTATTTCTGACTATGTTTTCCATGGAAAGCACAAACATACTGCTTGGGGTATATATGCCAGAGGGTGGGAACCCATGATCTAAGCCATGTTAAATCTACATGCAAGGGTTGTCTTTTATGTCACACAATACAGACAGTTAACCCCTACAATCCGGTTGACATTACAGTCCTGTCATGGAAAAATCTGGGTCGAGGGCTGGGTGATGTGAATATGCTATCATCAGGCAAAATGGCCACGGGCGATGGAAAAGACTCGTCACAAGTGCACAAGAATCTTGGTGTGACTTGACGCATTTGGCATTTAAAAGGAGCCTTTAGCGATTACATCAATAAAAAAATGTGTAATGTAACATGCATACGCCGTGACTGGGAGAGCACCGGTTCCAAGGAGGAACACTATATTCCTGGCTGCTGTGACCAGCGGCAAAAGTTGTATTACATAAAATTTAAAATTACGACATGAGATATATGATACAAATAACCAAATGTTCCATTTCCCCCCCCCTTGCACTGAGTTATTTACTACATAGAGAGATGATATGGAGTCTGTGCAAGGAAAATAAGCTATTACCATCTGGATAAGAGAAATCAAAAGACAAATATGGACACTGGAATATGGTAATAAGGCAAAAGAAGTTTACACAAAATAACTTTGCAAAGAGGAGGCACAGAGTCTTCTCACCACTCATGGGTTCTCACTAGCACCCAGCCTACACACTGCACACCTTGGATGTTGACTACATACATGACCCACTGCCTGTATTTTCAGCACTGTGATTTCTGTCCCTAAAAGGGGCATGGCCAATTATGGGGGTCATATTGGTAAATATTTCTAAAAAACAAACGGTCTTATGCATTTCCTTGATTTTTGGATATTTGATGTATTTTCATATGCCACATCTTTTGATACCAAATTTATGGGGGTTCCTAAGTGGGGGGCCCACAAAAAACCCTTTTGTTTTTTTGTTTTTCACATGTGTCTGTGCAGAAGACCACTTGTCCCAGAGGATTATGAATTGTCATGAAAAAAATTATGAATGAACATCAATGAATTCCTAAGACAACTACGTCACATTTTTTGGAAATTCGATTTAGTTTCCTTAGGAAACTTTTTTTTGATTTTCAAAAATTCGTATAAAAAAGTGAGTGTGTGGAAATGTGAAAATCGCTGACACAGCAGAAATGGGACTGGGGTTTCTGGCCTTGCGCTGCCCAAATTTTTCACAGCGGAAGTTCATTTTCACGTGGATAATTCTACTCTCATATACGAATATGAAACTGACCATGACTCATTTTCGACCACTCTGACCCCCCCCCCCACCGCCAGGGACAGGCCCCTTTGGGGTATTTCCCAGTATTCTAAAGAGAAACCCCTTATACAGGTAGAATTTAGAACTAAAAATGTCTATGATAAATGAAAACCACCACCGGCCTTCCGAATTGACACCTCTATGACTGGACTGACAGCTTTACAATATCTAGCTTCAAAGGGTTAAATAAGCAAAAATTACTATGCTTGAATGTAAGAGGAGTTCCAACCTAGGGCCAGGGGATACTTTCTGGGGGGCTGTGCAACATGAAAATTATGACTGTATTAAACAGGATTTTGTATCACCTATAGTACTTATAGATAGTTATCTCTCACATATCAATAAATTGGAATCTTTCCATGTAGTGCAAAATAGCTACTGGCACTATTACACAATTCATAACTAGTAATAACAGAATCTGAAAGATGAGACACTGAATGGAGCCCTAAAAATTATCATATACTGGTCAGGGGCCACACAATAAAAAAAAGTTGGGAACCACTAATCTAAACAATTATAATCTGCTAGGTATATAATATGTAATTTACTATGCTTTATAAATCAGTGTTGTTGGCAAAACATAAATCAAATGAGAGAACTGCTTTAAGAATGCCACTAAAGTCTGGAGATTTATACAGGAATATAAATTCATATCAGGTATTTATTTCATAGGGATAGATACTGCCTTTAAAAATATTATTTCCTTATAGCAAAAAGAACAAGTCACAGACCCTAACATGGTCAACACTAGTGTTTTGAGTTTTGCTCAGTAGATTAATAAGCAAAAGCAGCCTTGTCCTACCTGCCTACTACATCAGCACTGGCTACAACACAAAGAATTATACAAGTAATAGAAAGAAAGAGAATCTAGCAACATGAAGAATGCACATGAAAACACAAGAAACATAACACAAAATGAAATAAATACATAAACAAATATGTAACTTACAAAAAGAAGAAAACCAGGCACTAAAGCTTGGCGCGCTTACCTGAGGGTACGTAGAAGCAATGGTATAGGGATCAGGCGGGTGGGTGTACGTGGGGGTGAGTTGAGGCGTGGGGGGCGTGGACGAAGCGGAGGAAGAGATTTGGCCGTGGTGCCGTCGCGGACGTTTTCGATAGGACCGCCGTTCTCGCTTTCCATCCTCCTGTGGATGGGTTGAGTGAGGTTTGAATTGCTTTCTAATTTTTTTTTTTTCCCCTCTTTTTCATCTTAGAGAACAGAATACAAAAAAGAGAAAGAGAAAGAGTGAAAAGGTCAGGAGAAATTTGAGAGAGGAGAGGGGGGTAGGGGGGTTAGGTAGGGGGAGG